GATTGACCCCCCCCCCCCCCCCCCATTTACCCCACGCACATTCTCGTTGGACAGACTAAGTGACAGGCACACTGGAACAAACATGTGTTATGTTTAGCTGTGTTATATTTGTCAACTAAATTAAACATAAAAAGTTGACTTTAGTTGGCCAAATATACTTGTTAAACACTCTGTAAGAAGAGGTATTACCAAACTATTTGCAGAATTGTTAACTGTGACTTGAAACAATACATATATCAAATGAACTTTAAAACCTCTTAACAAAAACTGATGATATCACATTGTATACAATGCTAGGTCACAAAGATTGATTACAATATCTTAAATGATAGCATTACCAAAGATACTAGAAATACAAGATACAGCACTCGCATAGCAAAAATGAGGCGGAAATTGGTACAGAGGTACGCGGCGCCCTTCTATTTTTATAATGCAAGTTTTCTATACTTGGTCCAGACCATAGAGATATAATAAGAATACTAGAGTGCTAACTGCAATGTATTCGATGTTCGAAATACGCAGAGCTGTGTGTGTGTACCATCCAAGATGTCTGCCATTGATTCAGCCAATCAAATTTCGCCTAAGCGCTATCATTTTTATGGCGCCCTCAATTTCAACAGAAAGTTCAGTATAGCTAGTTAACCGTAAGTTTGAAACTCGAGCGTTGCGGTGTATTGGTGTAATGTACACGATTTTAACTTTTTTTTAAATTTTTGAATAAGATGCTCTACTTGGCCTCTTTTTGGCTAAGATAGTTTAATAATTTGTTAATTTCACTACTAATTATCAATAATGAAATAATAGTCAGTCAGAGGGATTATTTATGGTAATAATATGTATACTAAGCCTGAAGGTGGTGTTTTTTCCTACGGCGGCCATCTTGGATGGTACACATACATAACTCTGCATTGCTTCGCCATCTTGTCAGCACTTCAGTTGTTTAATAGCTCTATGGTCCATACGTAGGCCTACATGACGCCCTTCTCTTGCTAGGTATAATATACACCGCGCCCTTATTTTTACATTAATGGAGGAAAACTTTATCACTAATCATAGTCCGGTCAGACCATTCTGCGCTTTTGTGTCTGCCATTTTATTGTTTTGATTATTTATGCCTCCTTGTTTGCATCTTATGGACAATGGCAACGACTCTAACCTCCGCAAATGGAAGTTATGTATTCACAGTTATGTAACGGTGGCAGAAGTTTTTTAGATCCAGCCGTACGCGGCGCCCCATTGTTTGTATTCCCATCATGCATTTCGGTAGAACATTTTTTTTCTCTGTGGAGAACTCTATATGGTGTTTCTAGTATCTTTGGCATTACGTACAACTATTGTGCAACATAATGTGTTGTGGTAATATCTAATCAAATTCGGACAGAAAACAGAAACAAAGGTTGTTGATATCCACACAACATAGACCAACGTAGATACGGTACAGAACTCGGCACTGTGTAGATGAAGAATCATATATGAAAATAATATGATATAATAATATAATATGATTTTGATAATCGCCACTAAATTAGGGTTATTAATTTAATTTTAATATTATGCAATTATACTTAAGTTCTGATAAAAATATTGAAAAATATATATATTGTCTCTATTATTTTCTGAAAAACGTTCTACATAACTGCAATATAGTATAATAGAATGTAAGGTAGATTTGTATCACAAATTCCCATGCACTCAAAAAATAATAATGAAAATAATACAATAGGTAATGATAATTTAAAAAATGAACATCACTAAAAATAGAAAGTGTTGTTAAGATCAAACATAAAACGAGAATCTAAACATAATGTAAACGTGTACCTTTGTTGGAAAAGCGAGTAATACTGACCCGTTCTGATTGTATAACAGTGATAGATTGAAACCGAGAAAAGATTGTTTATGCCCCCCCCCCAAGCTCACGCTATTTAAAAGTGTAATCTACATTCACCATGGCATGACAATAATTAATACTCCAACCTCGGGAAGAACACATTGGAAAGAGTACAATACAAAAGTAACAAACCTGGTCTGATTCTCTAGTAGCTTCTTGAACAACTCTTCCTGAAATTGATAGTTGTTTATATTTAATGATAATTGTTATTGTTATAATTATTATTGTTGTTGTTATCATCATTATTATCAATAAAAAAAAATAGATTCACACTTTGAGCGGATTTTGCATTGCTCATCAACCAGACAAACTGCAGGCCTATTAAGAGGGCATTACACACTGGCGAACGCAACTCCGTGTTGGTATTTCTGTGCTACAGAAAAATATTTCTTTCCTGTAAAATTAATGCTAGTTTTAGTGGCTGAAAGGCTTGATTCCTTTATTTAATTTATTTATAGTAAATAATTAAAGGAACAAACGTCAGGGATATGTCGAAGTGCAAACGTAGTCATTTATTTAAGTAGCAATCCCTTCAAGACAAACATACACATATAGATGCTAAGTCTAGTTATGAGGCTTAGGTAGTGCAGTTGTTTTGGTCATGAGAACAATCTTGTTACCGTGACAATGATTGAACAAAGGACAATATAAGGCATGCATTCAACTCCACTCTCAGTGGCGTAACGCCTATGCGCTCTCATGCAGTGGTCCGCAGGGCCCCTGAATTCTAGGGGCCCCGAAGGTGCCCTACCCATAGCTTCCTCGATCTGGCACCCTGATCAAAGGACTTTGTTGATAAATAACACCATAATGTGACTCTGAAATCGACTCTAGGGTATATATCATATTATAACGATTAAAGAGAGGGGGCCCGGTAGGCCCGATGGGGTCCCTCTCGGCCCGGGACACCACCAAATTTGTCAAAAAATAAATAAAAAATGGAGATGAAAAGGAAATTACATTCACAATTTTAAGTATTTGAGTGTCATTTCCGGCCATCTAGACGTGCCATAATAATACATTTTCTTTTCTCAGCCCCACAAGGGCAACAGCATAATTTGTGTCTGAAATCGACTGTGGGATATATAGGGCCTATTATTATATCCATGTACTGTACAGCGACATACAATTCACGCTTTGATTATACACTACACGGCGTTCCATACAATAACCCTTATTTGGGCATTGAATATCTTACGGCCGAACCGGTCCTACACCATGTCTAGCCCACTGTTTAAAGTAGCAATTACAATGAAAAAGGGGCGTGGCCCTATATTTTTTTAAATATTGGAGCTAATTTGCATATAAATGGAGCATGTGACCACAGTGTGATTTCTGAAATGTTATTCCCTCATCATATGTGTTCGTTTGTAAAAAAAAAAAAAAAAAAAAAAGAAACCCTTGTTTGCAATATGTTCAGATTGTCTAGCCTACTATCTAAAGTCTGTCTCTTATACACATCTAGATGTGTATAAGAGACAGAAGTAAAGGTGAGTAAACAGCACAAATGAATCACAAAAGTATTGTAAAAAGATAATGTTCTGTCATAGTTAGCATTATAGATACATACTGAGTTGTCAGTGAATGAATTTAACATATTAGTATTGTACTTTTTTGGGCGTAGGCGACCAGATCTGTTAAATGTGTATTATGATGCAAAGGGTGGGAACGATTTTCAACAACGATGTCTAATTTCCTATGTACAGGATTATTATATGTGCCGTCTAATGTATCAACTTTGGATGCAATCGTACTTCAAGATTTTGAGAATAATTAGTCTTCTATCTTTTTTGCTGGTACTTCACGCATATTATTATTAATAATACACAATTTCGTTCATGTGCACTTTAAAGAACCCAATACATCTTTCGAGACGAGTAGGGGGTTACCTCGGTGTACTGGTCCATACAGCCCCTGTTTTGGACAGGCGAGAGTAGAGCTGGTACCGGTTTTACCGGGTAGCTCAGACATGAAGAGACCCTTAGGGGAGAAGAAAGTTACTGTACGAGGTATTTAACACCTCAAGCACGTTGAAGCTTCTGTATAAAGAGCTTACTACTACTACTACTACTACTACTACTAATAATAATAATAATAATAATAATAATAATAATAATAAATTAAATAATATAAATATGTAAACTCACTGACCTTGAACAGTTACTGAAAACGTGCAAGTATCAGTATTACCGGACGAGTCTGTGGCTGTAAATGTGAATGTGTGTGTTCCAATTCCAATAGCAGCTGGAAATGTTTCTGTGGGATCAGGTGAGATAGTTGGGACGAGCCCTGTGTTGTCACTTCCAGTAATTGAACCAGAATAGTTAACCGACGCTGTAGCAGCACCCATGTCAGTATCCACAGTCGTGTCAGATGGGCACAACAATGTAGGTTGTACGATATCTGCAGTATACATTTAGTAAATGCATTATTAAACCAAAAAGAATTATTATTCAAACACTTAGACATTTTGTTACTTCCTAACTTCTGACTTTATTTGTAGAAGTGGGTGGCTCAGTGTCTCCCAACCTCGAGGTCGGGGTTTCACTCCCCTCGCGCTGTGCATTTCGCTTGTGTCCTTGGGAAAAGGCACTTTATCTACATTGCTTCTCTCCACCCAGGAGTATAAATGGGTACCTGGTAGGGTCAACTGCCAAAATGCGCTGATGTAGCTGCTGCAACTTTATGGATGCAGTTTGTGTTCCATGGGCGTCAAATCCAATGACCGGGGAGAGTAATGTGAAGCGCTTAGAGGCCTTGTTGGCATTAAGCGCTATAACATATTATTATATTATTAAAATCAATTAGCATTATATAAATAATCAGTGCTTATGAGTGCAATAGAAAGAATAATATTTCATGAGTCCCTTGCTTGCCTCATATTTTTTGTATATTTAAGCTAATTTGCATATGAACAGGAGTTGTGATTAAGGTGATCCCCTTATATATACGGTAACCAATCATTGATCCATCAACTTTTTCCTGGAACGTTCATCGTCGTGTAATTGTTTAGGTACCTTTATTATCATACATACATAATTAATTTATTATATACTTTATTCCAAAAAAAACCACATTTTTATTAGTAATCGTTATTTCAACACACCACCACCTAACCCGCAGTGAACGTTGCACTGTACTGTACAGCGACATACAATTCACGCTTTGATTATACACTACACGGCGTTCCATACAATAACCCTTATTTGGGCATTGAATATCTTACGGCCGAACCGGTCCTACACCATGTCTAGCCCACTGTTTAAAGTAGCAATTACAATGAAAAAGGGGCGTGGCCCTATATTTTTTTAAATATTGGAGCTAATTTGCATATAAATGGAGCATGTGACCACAGTGTGATTTCTGAAATGTTATTCCCTCATCATATGTGTTCGTTTGTAAAAAAAAAAAAAAAAAAAAGAAACCCTTGTTTGCAATATGTTCAGATTGTCTAGCCTACTATCTAAAGTTGCACTTCCAGTTAAAAAGGGAATGTGGTCCCTTAATTTGCATACTTAACTAATTTTCATATGAACGGACTTCTAATAAAGGTGAGATTTCTGAAATTTGATCTCCTCATCATTGTAATGAAGGTACTTAAGATTATGAGTGAGCCCTCTATTTTATGTTACATAGAGTAAGGACACATGAGCCTTAAGGCAGTTGATAACAAGATATCAATAAAGGAACATACAAGAAAGTCAGAATAGCCTACTGTATATTATTGTCTACAACATATCATTACAAACATATGTGTTTTTTGTTTTTAATATGTCCTACTGTTTAAAGTAGTACTTCCAATAAAAAAGTATATAGGCATGGCCCTATATTTTTTGCATATTTAAGCTTATTTTTCATATAAACGGGACGTGTGATTTCAGTGTGATTTCTAAAATGTTATCTCCTCATCATATGTTTACATTTATAAAAGAAAAAAAAAACCTTGTTTGCTATATGTTCAGATTGTCTAGCCTACTATTGAAAGTAGCACTTCCAGTAAAAAAAAAAGGGGGGGGGCGTAGCCCCTATTTTGCATATTTAAGCTAATTTTCATATGAACGGGACTTGTGATTAAGGTGAAATTTCTGAAATTTGATCCCCTCATCATATGTGTTCTTTTATAAAAGAAAAACATTTGTTTTCAATATGTTCATAATGTCTAGCCTACTGTTTAAAATTGCATTTCCAATGAAAAAGGCCATCTAAAAATGGGTGTTGTCACTGTATTTCGGGCTGTTCGTCCCAGATAGAGTTTTGGCACACTTCCTCTAGTGTTCATATTAGTCTATAACAGTTGAGATATTCTCTCCTAAATTAAGTGCATACAAAACTTAGTCAGTTCATAGACTAATACAAACCTTTCAATATTTACATCTGGAAATGTTAACAACTAGCAAAACCAATCATTCTCTGATGAAGATCCGTTGACAACGGATCGATACGTTACAAACAGTACGTATTTTATTGGTTTACTCACAAGAAATTTTTTGAAACTAGATGAAATTATTTGAGATTAATATTATGCCTACAATATTTTCATTGGTTAAAAGACGATAGACTGTTCCATTCAGAACAAAGGTAGAGTTAACCCACTCTATTTTTTTCATAAAATATCTAATGACAAGGATCGTTTTAGGTGTGTTATAAAACAAATAATGATTGTGTTTTATTCGTGCAATGGAAAGAATATTTTCATGAGTTTAAAGGAAAGATCTATTCAAATCTGTTCCGCCTCACTGAATGAAACAGTAAATTTTTCAACTCATAAAAATATTCTTCCTATTGCATTCATAAATATTAATTATTTGTATAATATCTACTTATTAACCATTTTATAATATCACTAACCTTGAACAGTTATTGTAAACATACAAGTACCATTATTACCCGACGGGTCTGTAGCTGTAAAGCTAAATCGATTTGTTCCGATTCCAATATTAGTTGGAAATAGTGCTGTTGGATCAGGCGAGATGATAGGAACAACGCCTGTGTTATCACTTCCGTTTATTGAACCGGAATGGTCAACTAAAGCTGTTGCAACGCCTAAGTCAGAATCAATAGTCATGTCTGATGGACACGTCAAAGCAGGTCGTACGATATCTGTCGTATAGATTAAAGTAAATTTAAAGCAATTATTATTATTACTAAAATATTTCTAAGTAAAGTGTAATTATAATTATAACTAAATAATAATAACTGAAGTGTAATTATAATTTTTATCAGTCAGTCGTGACGACACCACTGTAACTCTTAATGTTATTTTCCAACCTACACTAATTTTACATTAGTGCACGGTTTGCTTGCTCTGTATAATAATTTCCACTAGTGTATGGTACGCAACTCTACTAATTGCTTATTATTACCAATAATAATATTATTATTATTATCACAGGCGGATTTCGCGGGGGCATGCCCCGGACCCCCTACGACAGAGTTGTCTCAATCGGCCCAATTTTCGGCCCCACTTCCGCCCCCCCCCCCCCCCCCCCCTCCCGCCCTTTTGGACATTTCTGGATCCGCCCCTGATTATACATAATATTCATTAAAAATATAACATAGAGTATATAATATAGATACATATTAGTTAAACAGTAGAGTAATAGAAGTACAAATCTTATGGAAAAGTAGTAAATGAAACCAAAAACAAATAGGTTAACTATCGGGCTCACTTTGAACGATAAAACCACATAGAAGGAGAGACTATGAGTTTTACCTAATAGTAATTAATCTTAAGATTCATTTTTCTAATATGTATTTATATTCTATTATGTTTACAATATGCAGTAAATAAAAAATATGTTTTATGTGTTTGTTTATTGAGGACATATCTTGGCTAAAACACGTGCATCTACATACGACTAAAACCAATTAATTTATCTATGCCTTGAATGAACTGACTAATTGATTGATTTTTTTTTTTGAGTGATTGATTGATTGACAGACTGACTGGTTCATTCATTCGTTTATTGATTAATAAATTGATTAGAATAACCTTCAAAACAGTGTACATATAAATATGTTTTATGTGCTTCGGGCACACTATTATGCAGCTAACAATGATATTATGTTATTAAAGAACACAAATATTGAATAAAAATATTTATCAAATCGATGAGGGTTGTATTTATTTGTAAAATTATATTTTTGAAATATATTTTTACAGATTTTTTAAAGGTAGATCTTTGCACCAATAGCACCAATAATAAACAACGAATGATGTTTAGCCTGGAATTGGGCCACCAACGACGGGGTGGACTTACTGCATATAACTGGATATAGGGTACCGGTACACGACAGACATTGCTTTTATTGTACCACACTTTAAGAAAAAGTTTGCTTAGGTTGTCTTGAGACCCTTCGATACCCGTTTGGTTGCGCTACTATGTCTCCTATCTAACTAAAACTGGTATGTTTCTTGAATCTTGTTATAGAAAAGATTTGAATAAATGCATATTTTAATATAACTGTTATTATTATTATTATTATTATTATTAATAATAATATTATTATTATATTAATAATATTATTATTATTATTATTATTTTATAAATTTCAATACTTTATTATGGTATCACTAACCTTGAACAGTGATTGTAAACGTACAAGTACCATTATTTCCAGACAAATCCGTGGCAGTAAAGGTAAAAGTGTTTGGTCCAATTCCTAGAGTAGTTGGAAAAGATGCTGCTGGATCCGGCGAAATAGTAGGAAAAACTCCTGTGTTGTCACTTCCATTTATTGAACCAGAATAGTCAACAGATGCTGTATCTACACCCAGGTCAGTATCCACAGTCGCGTTAAATGGGCATGTTATTGCAGGATTTACACTGTCTGTAGCAGATATAGTAATGTTAAAAAATGCAGCCATAAAACTTTTTCTTTCCATTTTGACGAAGCATAAAATCTCCGTATACTCAATTATTAGTCATTTAAAATGAAAACAGATTTGTTTGTATGTATGTATACACATTTGATGTCTGTAGATACTTGTAATGAGACCAAATTCAGAAAATACATGCAATTATGCGAATGCGAAACAGTTGACACAACATTTGAATGTAAGGGGATCGTCATAATTATTGGTTCACTAGTTAGTGTCTATCGATGGGTTATATCTGAATTAAAGTCATTGAATTCTACCCAAAAACAAAGTAAATCTTGCTAAGTATATGAGAATAAGCTCGTGTATAGGATTATATTATGTGTGGGGAAGACGTGCAAAACATTTGTAAAGGGTATCTTGGTTCGGACCCTTTCTTCTAGTATTGGTGTAAGATTATTGACCGTAAACCTAGTTTTATAATTACAAATTTTATGATATGATAAGTGAAAAGTCTTCAATAAAAGTTCGAATATTTATGTA